GTCATAATTGAAAAGAAAAAGATATTCCGCATTTTTAATTAAGCGTGGCTTAATACAATGGCATGTTAACAAACCGGGTATACACGGGGTGTTACAGCCACCCTTTTCTATGAGGTATCATTTAATGATAATAATTTTTTTTTGATAAAGTGGGATAGGTTGAATAAACAAAGGAGGTGCCGTCGAAATTTATATAAAATGGAAATTTTTTGGTGAACTTTGGGAGAGCATATCTTCCTCCAAATATGTCCAATAGGGTCATGGCATACACCATTTTGAAGCTTGAGATGTAAAATATATTGTATCAAAATTTGGTAGCCATTGGAGCTGTGCGCAGACCTGGAGACGCGTTTGAGTATGGACTGTCCAGAATGCCCTGCACTTGGGGGCTGTCGGTGGCAGTTTTGGGAAAATCATTTCTCCCTCAATTCTTGGTCAAATTAGGCTCATGATATGTCAAATTGAAGCTTAAGGTGTCTAATTTACTGTATAAAAATTTGAGAGCAATTGGTAGAGTAGTTGTCTAGAATCGCAGAAATGGTAGTGTATGTTTGGTGCCTTGTTTGAGGTTGGCTGGCGGCTTTACTTGTCTAACTTCAAACGGTGGTAACCGGAGCAAATACGAACTTTATGGGGCGTAAGATACCTTGTTGGAAAGGTAATTGAGCCTAGAATAACATACTAAAATATGAGAGGCTTGTAACTACTAAATCTCTCGCAATGCTCAAATGACTGAACCATGTTCAGTTATGTAAAAACCGTAAAAGTGAGATTTATGCTAAGTGGATTTATGAGATGAACCCCTTAGTGACTTAAGATAAGCATTGTATGATAGTTAGGCATTTAATTTAATTATTCTTCATTTAAATTCTAGTTATGATCACAGTTGTCATCATTATGTTTTATTATTGTTTCTAAATGCTTACGTAATGAAAAGGGAAAAGTCTACTCGTATTTTTAAATGAACTGCTGTGATTGTAACTGCTCTTAAGATTATAATCAATGTTAACAACACTGGTACGTAATGGGTTGTTACACTAATGAATGTGACAATCACCACGTGTAAAAATCGAATCATTAATGCAACAAAGGTAGCTATAACCCAGGAAAAATGATCACACAATCAACTGGGGCAGTAGGAACCTCTAGCTGGGTTCTCAAAATAAGTTCCACGCATAACAAGTTATAGCTAACTTTATATAGAATTTAAAACTGGGTTGCAAAATTAATGAGCTTGGGGGAAACTCGCCAGTTGGATACAAAACAACTCAAGTCCATCCACAACCCGGTTTAGAGGGATGTGAATTATATCTCGGCATGTTGATTGCTCAACTTGTCAAGGTAAGGGGCAAGGATGTACTATTCCTTAATGCAGAAACCCGGACAAATGCAAATATTTTCACCCCAGCAGCCCGGATACCCAAATTGCCTGGTTGAAGGGCAACTGCTATGGACTCATATATGAGGCCCATTAATTGACAAGCCCAACAAGGGGCAATCCAAGATATTAATCAAATATAGTTATGGAAGGATATTCATCAAAGATATCAATCCTAATACGATAGCATGGGCTTGAGCAGTCATTAGAAGCACTGAAGGTCCAGAATCCACTACCCACAGGTAAACTCTATAAATAAAAGGTAAAACCTACAGGTACGTTATGCTCTCTCTCTTACTGTTATGCTGTCACTGTGCACACACACACCCCTTTGGCAAAGTTGTTTATAGTTCTTCAATGCACAGTGATCTGCTTGACTCAAGGGTATCTAACTCATAGATACCTTGGAGAGAGCACCTAGATCCAATAGCAACATACTAGTTCATTGGGCTAGACATCTCTATCTCTAAAACAGAACAAGCACACTAACATTTGATTAATGAAATTTGACTTGGGCATTTCATCAAACCACTTAAACTCATCCCATAACACGCAAGATCATCCAATGATTGCCTACTACCACATTTCAATTAACACATGTGCACAATGGACCGTTAGCGATATCTTTCTCTCCATTTTGAAACACTAATTTATGCTCATACGTAGCTCATTAGGGACTAATCAGCTCAAATACATCAATTTTCTAAAAGAAAAGAAATAAAAAATATAGAAAACTCACATAAAAGGTGCAAAGCTCCGAAGTAGAGAACCAAAACCACTCACCGCATCGTTGTCGTCAGGGAGAGTTTGCAGTGCCTTTCGTGAAGGTCCCAAGGGAAACGACAAGTAATATTATTTAATAATTTTCTAATCGTTTAGTTTTAATTTAATATTATTTTATATTCGGATGACATATATTATCAAGTAATCCCAAGTAGGGGTGAAAGTGGGCCGAATCGGTCTACAGGAGCTTACGGCCTAGCCTATATCAGGTCGGGCTTGATCTATTACATAGAGTCAAATAGAAAAGGCCCGAGCTTTTAAAGAAGCCTATTTAGAAAGTAGATGATAGGCTTTTTTTACATGTCGGGATTATAGGCCTATAGGCCGGCCTATATCGTATTATTCAATTTAAAAAATAAATAATATTATTCATAGTAGTATCAAATGGTGATAGTTCAATTGGTGCATGCGAGCTAAGTAGGTGATGGAAGGACCTAGGTTCGTTCTCTCACTAATACTATCTTTAAGAGTTGCATAAAATCTGTACTAATCTCTACAGTACCTTAAACATCAACATTATTGATGCCTATAGTTATAGCTTAGCTGAAGATACCATCCAAGCGTTAATATATGACGGAGATTGGCTACGTGTATGACTTGAAAAAAAAATAAAAGGTATAAATTTAATCAATTGAAATTATTTTATAATTTAATTATATTCGATTAAATTTTAACAGAAATTTGGCTATATTTTTTATGAGAAAAATATTTTTGCAGTTAATGCAGATAAATTATATGCATTTACTCCCAAAACGATGTCGTTTTGGGATTAAAAGATTAACAAATAATAATTATAAAGACTATAATAACTCTGAAATAAATTAAAATTACAAAACACCCTGATTTTCGTTCCAAAACGACGTCATATTGGGCTTACTGCAGATAACTTATCTGCAGTAACTGCAGAAAAAGCAAACCCATTTTTTATATAGGAGGAACCAACATCTTAGTATGTGAGATTGCCTATATGAATCTATTAAAAGTTTTTTGTTTCTTAATCTTTTTTTTTTTTTCTATTCTTTATTCTTGTTTTTTGTTTTCTACATTTACAAATTGTTTGTCAACTTATGTAATCTTGGAATTGTATTTTTAGGGGAGAGAAGATGAAGATAAGTTTTTGACTACTACAAGCATCATGATGTGTTTGTTAGATTTATGTAGTTATTTTAATTTACATAGTATAAGTTTGTTTGTTGGATCTGATGAAATATATGTTATTTTGTTTGAGTATTTTGCTTTTAAAAGTGACTTAAATGCATATTGTGATGAGTTTTGTTGTGATTCATGGTTCTGTTTGGACATTGAAATTGTGATTTTTGTTTTAACAATAGAATTTGAGTATTTTGTGAAGTTGATTCATGGTTTTGCTTGGAAGTTAAAACCTAACAGGTTAATGCGCCGAGCCAGGCCAATTGTTTTATTATAAATAGGTCAAGCAAGGCTAACAGTTAGACTCGTACTAAGCTTGGGCAAGGTCAAATTGAAAATTTTTAGCATAGGCTTGGGCTTTTCGGGGCTAGGGATGAAAGTGGGCTGGGCTGGGCCGAGCTTTTCCCCGAAAAGCCCAAGCCTATGCTAAATTTTTTCTATTTGGCCTGGCCTGAGCCCTAGTACGAGTCTAACTGTTAGCATAGCTTGGCCCATTTATAAAAAAAAAACAAATGGCCTGGTTTGACCTGTTAGCCTGTTAATTTTTAACTTTCAACCAGAACCATGAATCAACTTCACAAAATACTCAAATTATGTTATTAAAACAAAAATCACAATTTCAACGTCCAAACAAAATCATGAATCACAACAAAACTCATCACAATCTGCATTTAAGTCATTTTCAAAAGCAAAATACTCAAACTAAATAACATATATTTCATCAGATCCAAAAAATAAATATATACTATGTAAATTAAAATAACTACATGAATATAACAAACACATAATGATGCTTGTAGTAGCCAAAAACTTCTCTTCATCTTCTCTCCCCTACAAATACAATTCCAAGATTACATAAGTTGGCAAACAATTTCTAAATGTAGAAAACTTAAAACAAGTATAAAGAATAGAAACAAAAAAAAATAAGATTAAGAAACAAAAAATATTTTAATAGATTCATATAGGCAATATCACATGCTGAGATGTTAGTTCCTCTTACATAAAAAATAAAGTCAAATTTCTATTAACATTTAATCGAATATAATTAATTTATAAAATAATTTCAATTGATTAAATCTATACCTTTTGCTTTTTCTTCAGGTCATACCTATTACGTAACTAATCTTCTTCGTATATTAAAGCTTGAATGATATATTTAACCAAGCTAAAATGATAAATATCAATAACTCTTCGCCCAACACTAAATGTTGATTCTGATGGTACTGGAGAGATTGGTACAGATCTTATGCCACTCTCAAAGATAATATTGGTGAGGGAACGAACCTAAGTCCTTCCACTATCTATTTAGCTCACATGCATCAACTGAACTATCACCATTTGGTACTACTATGAATAATATTAGTTTATTTGATTTAAAATAAATAATATGATATAGGCCGACCTGTAGGCTTATAGACCTGTAAAAAAAAAAAATTTATCACCTACTTTCTAAATAGACTCTTTTAAAAGTCCGAACTTGTTCTATTTTATTATATATAATAAGTTAAACCCAATCTGAGACAGACTAGGCCGTAGGCCGGGCGGTCGGGTGGCCCACTTACCCCTTGCCAAGTGATTCACGAGAATTTTCCCTCGGACCAGAGAAAAGACACGTGTCGCATAGTCATTGAGGGATCCACGTATAAGTTTTTGAAACGGAGGTGTGCGGTTTTAACATCCAAAACTCAGACTAGGAGAAACACACACAAATTCTCTTAGTTATTGTGAATTTAGGATGCATAAGCAAGATATATAGCATTCAAACTTTTGGTTTCAGTTGCAATTTGCAAGAATCGCTAACCAATTGTTGAGCAGAGAGAAGGAGAATGGGTTGGGTCGCAGACACTGTTGACTCTGTGAAGTCCATTCAATTCAGACAAGCTCTGACCCAGGTCGTCACTCTTGGTATGCTCAATCTCATGCTCCATTCCCATTCTTCTTCTTCTTCGTTTCATCACACCCATCCCCACAAAAATCACGGATTCAATATCAGTTAATTAATTATGATAATGTCAGTTTTTGTTTCAACGTGTTTCAGGGTTGATTGTAACATCGGCGCTCGTAATATGGAAAGGGTTAATGTGCATTACCGGTAGTGAGTCACCCGTCGTCGTTGTTCTTTCTGGAAGCATGGAACCTGGTTTCAGACGAGTCAGTATTACCCCTCTGCACCTCTTTCTTTTTTCTTTTTTTTGTTGTTGGTAATTTTATTTTATTTCAAAGCATGTGAATAATTTGAATAATTATTTCTATTAATTTTTTATCCTTATGTTCGAGACTTATATGAAGATTATTTGGTTTATCTGAAAAATCTTGTGGTTCTCTTACAGGGTGACATTTTGTTTTTGCACATGAGCCAGGATCCCATTCGTGCAGGAGACATTGTGGTGTTCAATATAGATGTACCATTCCTTTTTCTTTTTCCACGAATTGATATGTGCCATCCCCCGCGATGTTTTTGGATTTCGTAGATGTGATTTATCTTTAACAGAAAACACTGCCACTGCTTGTGTAGCAAACAGGCCCAAGCGCACAAGGCAATATACAACTCGGTTGAATGATTACTGGGCTTTCTAATGTACTTAGCTTTAATTAGTTATGGGCTATTGTTTAGTGATTGTTTTAGCCTTCATAATATTTCAATTCCCGTTTCTTTATTTTATACTATGGACTATAAATAGTTTCAGCCTTTTAATATTCAGAATATATGAAGAAAATTCCAAAATCTCTCTCTCTCTTCTTCTCCTCTCCTTTTCCCTTTTCCCGCTCTTTCTCTTCATTCAGATCTGCCCTGCTACGTTGGTGCTTCCATTGACCTTGTTGTTCCTCCTTCCATGGCGGACAACACACGATATAAAGATTTGCAGAATCAACTTCATGAGCTTCAATAACAACAGTTGCTCATTCCTGATTTGATCAGAGAGCAGGTACAGCTGCTGCGCTCCGATCCGCAAGCGGAAATGACGACACTAGTTGAATCCACCAGGAACACCAGCCTTGGCATTCTTGGATCCGGTCCTGGTGCTCACTCTGCGTCCAATTCGGAATCCTCTATTCAACCATGCGCTCAATGTCCTCGTTTGGCGTCTCCACGTTTTGCCTATGGTGATCCCACTTATTGGCTCTTTGTGGTGGATCGTTACTGTCTCTATCACCAGATCCCTGATGGTGAACGACTTCTTCTTGCATCGTTCCCTCTAGATCCCCCTGCCCCTCGATGGTTCCAGGGGCTTAATCGAGATGGCCTTTGCACTACTTGGCAAACTTCTACCATTGCCTTACAACACCGGTTTGGACCCACGAATTTTGAGGATTCTGCAGGTATGTTAACTAAGCTTACTCAAATTGGCTCTGTGACTGACTATCAAGCCCAATTTAAGGCTCTCTCTAGCAAGGTTTCTAACATTACAATTGCACTCCTCAAGAGTACGTTTATTAGCGGTCTTAAACCGCAGATTCAATGCGCAGTATTGACCATGCGCCCTCCAGATTTACATGGTTCATTTGCATTAGCTCGCCTACTCGAGGAGCAATTTGCAAAAGAAAAATCAATGCGACCCTGCCCCAATGCCAGCTGCTACCAGCTCCCTCTAATCTCCTGCACTCTAAACCAAAGACCGCAAAACCAATTCCGGCGATTCCGATCAAGAAACTCTCCCCTTTTGAGATGCAATCACATCGAGTCCGTAATCTTTGCTACGATTGTGATGAACGCTGTACTTTTGGCCACAAATGTAAGGGCAAAGCTACCTTACTTTATATTGCTGGGACCAAGGACGATAGTGGCTTTTGAGTTTGACACTATTGACCTGCCACTGGTTGAATCAGAGCTTGACAATGGACCTACCCCTGAGATTAGTTTGAATGCTATGTTTGGGCACCATTCCTCTCGTTCATTCCGTCTACAAGGGTCAATTGGAGGACAACAAGTACAATTCCTCATTGGATTAGGGAGTACTCACAACTTTATTTCCTCGCGTATGGCATCACATTTATCCCTGACTCTTCATGCTATCACTGCCTTTCAAGTATAGGTCTGTAATGGGGAATCTATGCAATGCAAGCCTGTGTGCTATGGTGTGCCTCTCTTAATGCAATTCCATCAGTTTTGTATGGACTTATTTGTTTTGAATCTTAAAGGAGCAGATGTGGTGCTGGGAATTCAATGGCTCGCAACTTTGGGCCTTATATTGACCGATTACTCTTTGATGACCATGTCCTTCCAACACAAGGACTCATCTATTGTCTTGTAGGGTGACACGTTCATCTCCCCAAGTTCTGTTACTCCTTCCCAACTGTCCAAGATGGCCGCACATGGTGACTTAACTTCTTGTGTTTTGTGTTTTAGTGCTTTTGTCCATGCTGCCATGTACTCCTTGGCATCCAATCCTTCCGAGGGTCCCATACATCCAATTCCTGCCATTGCTCAGCCAGCAGCTTCCTCTCGACAGATCCCACAACCATAACATTCACCTCCTCCTGATACTAAACTCGTACAAGTTCGCCCATATAGGTACCCACACTTTTCAGAAATCAGAAATTGAGCGTCTGGTCAAGGAGATGCTCACTGGTGGCCTTATCCGACCCAATCACTCGGATTTCAGTTCCCTAGTACTGTTGGTCAAAAGAAAGATGGCACCTGGCGCTTCTGCGTTGATTACCGGGCTTTCAATGCGGTGATTGTCAAGGATTGCTTTCCCATTCCCACTGTGGATGAACTCTTAGATGAGTTACATGGTGCTACTATCTTCTCTAAACTTGATTTACGTTCCGGTTATCACCAAATTAAGATGCATCCCGCAGATATCCATAAGACTGCATTTAGAACTCATCACGGTCATTATGAGTTCTTGGTCATGCCCTTTGGGCTAACCAATGCTCCTTCTTCATTCCAGGCCACTATGAATGAAATTTTTGCTGAGTTTTTACGTAAATTTGTTGTTGTTCTTTTTTTTATGACATACTGGTTTATAGCCCTTCGATGCAGGATCATTTGCAACATCTTTCTCAGGTACTACAGACCGTACACACCCATATTTTCTTTGCCAAGCTGACTAAATGCAGCTTTGCTACTACATCGATGGTTTTTTTAGGCCACATAATTTCAAACAAGGGTGTATCCCCTGATCCCGCTAAGGTGCAAGCAGTTAGTGAATGGCCTCCACCTAAGTCTCAAACCCAACACCGAGCTTTTTTGGGTCTCTCCGACTTCTATTTGACGCTTCATCCGGAGCTATGCCAGTATTGCTGCCCCATTGACGGATCTCCTCACTCGCGATGGATTTTTGTGGTCCTCAAAGGCTGACCAGGCGTTCCATAGGTTAAAGGAGCTACTAACTACAACTCCCACCTTGGCGTTGACAGATTTTTCAGTCTCATTTGTTATTGAAGCCGATGCTTCTGGGGTGGGTATTGGTGCTGTTTTGCTCCCGTCAGAGCACCCACTTGCCTTCTTTAGCAGAAAACTCTCTCCTCTAATGCAACACAAGTCATCCTAGATTTGTGAGTTATTTGCCATTACAGCAGAGTGGCCAAGTGGCGACAATATTTACTGGGGGCTAAATTCACTATTTGTACAGACCACCAGAGTCTTCATTGTCTCATGACTCAGGTGATACTAGGGGTGTAAAAACGGGTTGACACGACACGAATTCGATACGACACGAATTTGACTCGACATGAATACATCAACACTAACACGACACAAATTTTTATTCGTGTCAAAATCTTCAACACTGACACGACACAAATTTTTTGCGGGTTGACACGACATGACACGAATAACACGCAAAATAGGGGTCAAAACAGTAATTGACAAAAAAAATTTAAAAAAATGGGTCGAAATTAAAAAAATTTAAAAAATAATGATAAAAAAATAAAAATAAAAATAAAAAAAAATATGGGTCAACACGAATACGAATACATCAACACGAACATGACACAAATTTTTTACGTGTCATTTTTCCCAACACGAACACAACACGATTTTTTTTGCGGGTCAACCCGAACACGAATTCTCGTATCGTGTCGCGGGTCGACCCACGTGTCAAAACCTATATTGACACCCCTAGGTGATACAGACCCCGGAACCACAGCAGTTCCTGGCCAAATTGCTGGGATATGATTATTCCATCACATATAAGTTGGGAAAAACAAATAAGGCTGCTGATGCGCTTTCCAGAAAGCCCGAGGGGGGATCTCAGGATTCCAGCCCTCAATTTGCCGCCCTTACAGGCCCTGTATCTAACTATGGATCCTTACTTCAATCAGATTTACAGTGCGACACCTATGTTACCAAGATCATTCAAGAATTATAGTCATCCTTAAATAATTGGCCACAATGGCAATTTAAAAATGGCTTATTGTATCATCAAGGTCGTCTGTTCATCCCAGTTGCATCTCATCTGATTCTGTTGCTGCTATCTGAGTACCATTCCTCTGTTTTTGGTGGGCATACCAGTGTTTATCGGACCCTGGTTCGCCTATGTGCTAATTTCACTTGGCAAAATGTGAAGAAAGATGTTACGAACTATATCAAAAATTGCGAAGTCTTTCAAAATATTAAAGTTTCAAATCAGGCCTCTTGCAACCATTCTCTACTCCAGACTCTATCTGGTCTGAGTTGAGCATGGACTTTATTACTCAATTACCACCTTCAGTGGGATTCACCGCCATCATTGGTTGTGGTGGATCGTCTGACCAAGGGTGCATTTTGCTCCTCTGCCACCCCGTTACACGAACGCTAATGTGGCCTTGGTCTTTTGGGATATCGTGGGGACGTTACATGGACCCCCCAAATCCATCATTTCCGACAGAGATCCCATCTTCTTAAGTGAGTTTTGGACAACGCTATTCAAACTCCAAGGCACAACCCTCAACTTTGGGTCAGCTTACCACCCCCAAACCGACGGCCAAACTAAATGCACCAACAGAGTTTTAGAACAGTACCTCCGAGCATTCGTCCATAACCAACTTACCACATGGGTTCGTTACTTGAGTTGTGTCGAGTACCACTTTAACACTGCCTTTAATAGATCTCTGGACTCTTCACCATTTGAAGCCACATATGGCTGTCCCCCACCCTATCTCTTACAGTACTCCATGGGAACGAGCTCGATTGAAGCAGTGGACTCTGGCCTTCGCACCAGAACTCTGATCATAGCATCATTGAAACAAAATCTAAGGAAAGCCCAAAACTTTATGAAAGACTATGCATATAGAGGAAGAAAATATATAACCTTTGCGGTGGGCGATCTGGTCTGTCTTACTCTTCAACCTTACCGACAGCTTTTAGTCTACCGTCGCTCGTCTGCAAAACTCAGCTTGAAGTTCTATGGACCTTATGAAGTGCTTGCACACGTGGGTCCCGTCGCGTACAAACTCAGGCTGCCGGAAGGATCCAAGATCCACCCCGTCTTCCACGTGTCTTTGCTGAAACCTTTCTTTGCTGAACAATAGCTTGTTCTCTATTGTCTTCCAGAAAATATGACTGAGACACCACTGCGTCACGCTTCAGTCGCCATCGTCGCTATCAAGACGATATGGCGTCGTGGGGCAAAGGTTCCCCAGGTTCTCGTCCAATGGTTTGGTTTGCCTCCCGAAGCATCAACGTGGGAAGACGAAACTGAACTCGAAAAGGTTGGAGGAATTGAAAGGACTGAGGAGCTCTAAGGGCTCTGACCCTATTTCTGATGATTCAAGGCCCACTGTTTTCCTTGCCAATCATCTACCTTCTTCTGGATTTCCCACCAATTAGACGGCTACCTCAGTTATCCATCCGGGTCCACAGCCCCACGTGGCCTCCCATGAGTTGTCCCCACTAAGTTCTCTCGATTCCAAACCCTTCCAGCAGGTTCCAACCAATTCAGCGGCCAACCCTAATGCCTTGCTGGATACTCCGGTCCTTGAGGACAAGGCCCATCTCGATGGGGTGGGTAATGTAGCAAACAGGCCCAAGCGCACAAGGCAAAATCCAACTCAGTTCAATGATTACTGGGCTTTCTAATGTACTTAGCTTTAATTAGTTATGGGCTATTGTTTAGTGATCGTTTTAGCCCTCATAATATTTCAATTCTCGTTTCTTTATTTTACACTATGGACTATAAATAGTTTCAGCCTTTTAATATTCAGAATATATGAAGAAAATTCCAAAATCTATCTCTCTTCTTCTCCTCTCCTTTTCCCTTTTCCTGCTCTTTTTTTCATTCAGATCTACCGTGCTACAACTTGACAATACCTCTGCCATCAACTTGGTTAGCTACAAGTTAAAATGTATCAAATGATGATTAACAAAATGTAGTAGTCGTTTTCATCTTTTTTGGAGAACATACTTTTGCAAATATTTGGCTTTTCCCTTATATTTAGCAACATCAGTGTAACTCCCCCCCTCCTTATTTACCTTAATAAGTCTTAGAGACAATCATGTATTAGATTATGATCCGTACTTCTCCCATGCCTTGATCTTTGGAGGATAGAGGATTCTAAAATCAATTGTTATTGGCACTTGAATTTGTTTATGTTATATATGTAAAAACAGGGAAAATAGGGTGTAAAGGAAGCTATCGAATGTGTTTGTGCAATGTGTGTGCTAGTCTTGACAGATTCATTTATTTTTAATATGTTTACCTCTAAACATCTTGCTAATAAATGTCTGCATGTTGTACAGGGACGTGATATTCCAATTGTTCACCGTGTGATTAAGGTTTGGGTGACATTTATTTTATGTTACATACATTTTAACATCCATTCAGTCAACACAATATAGGCTTCTTATAAGCAATATATATTTGTAAAGGAGAGTAGGTTATGCATGCTAATGGGTAATTACGTGTCCACTGCTCTGTGTAAACTTTGGTCACTGTAGTTGGAGAGTTCATGTGATATAAAGTTAACTATATTGTGCAAGACTACAGTTGATTAGAAACATATGAAGAGAAAACAAAGCATTCTCAATGATGAAAGGAATTGTGATGGTAAGTGGTCATAGACAGTTGGTCTTCCTCGATTGATCCTTTTTTTTGGTGAATTTCCTCTCGGTTAATCCTTTAGCCACGCTTATCATTGCTTCCTATTTTAAATTTCCGTTTCCCACTGGACTAGCTACCAATTGGTCATACAAAATTTCAATCCTGAATTTTGACACTTTCTAATCCTTTGGTCTCTTGCCATATCTGGATGATATTTTTCCCATGGTTCATTGGAACCATATAGCTAAAGTCTCTAGTAAATGAAGCTCAAATTCCTTGGAACATAGAAAAGAACGGTTTATTAAATCATGTATGTATAGATCACTGATAAATCCCCATTTTGCACTACATAACATGCTAAACTCATTAAATCCGATTAATAATTCTTGAACCAAAGGCTTGCTAATTTGTACTCCTAAATTTTGCAAATAATACACAGTTGATTTCTATTGTGTGTGTGTTTTTTTTTTTTCAACATATTGATCTATTGGCTACATCTGTCTTTAAAATTTGAATATAGCTTGATGTCTGTGGCAGATATCACTGGATTAATTAATGTTCTTTCATTTTAGGTTCATGAACGTCAAGATACTGAAGAAATGTATATCCTCACTAAAGGTACAATGCAATAGATGTTTGGATAATATCTCCATATTATATTCCAATTGTCAACAGACTATCTTCTTAATTATAAGGAAAGCAATGCATTTATTAGTTTTTCCCTTGCTATTTAATATTTTATGGTCACCGTTTACTATAGCTTTTGACACTACAATTTTCTGATTTGTAAGTTGTTTTCATGATATGAATTAATGCTTTTGGCTTTAACAACTCCTTTCCATTTGTTAGAATAGGAAATATAATATGTATAGATTTGGTTTAGATTTGTATAGATTACTTTCCTATTTGTAAATATTCTTTTCTTATTTAGGATTTGAATTAGGTCTGAGCTTCTCTCTTAAGCCCCGTAGGGTCTCTATATATTGTAACTCTTTGTATCAGTTTAATACATATTATATTATTTCATATTCAAGTTGGTACTAGAACTCTTTTGTTTTGGGGACCCTCGCTTTCGCTTAAAACCTCGTTTTTGCTTTAAAACCTAAGCCCACTGCGTAGGAGTTCTCTTTTCTTTGCCGCGTGTCCTTCCGGCAAGCCATCTAGGGTTGTAAGCTCCTTCAGATTAATTTTCGTACCTGTCAGTACCTCCGACCGCTACCGGAACCACCGTCTGTTACTGTTCCGGCCACCGGAGACCTTTTCCGGCGACGTTTTGAGCCGGGACACCTGCGATTAGAACCTCCTCTCGCCAGCGACTCATTCTGTGGAAGACCCACCACCGTCGCAGCCTCCACGCGCTCTCACGCGTGGCCTGTCTCCTCTGCGCGTGGTGCTCACGCGCCACCTTTAATTCTATTTCATCTCAATTGTCACAGGTTGATCATGTTCTTCCTGTTCTTTTTCTTTTTCTTGAATACATTTGTAACAAGCTTGGTGCTCACAATATATACGCACTAGTTTGAGGGGGAGTGTTAGAATAGGAAATATAATATGTATAAATTTGGTTTAGATTTGTATAGATTGCTTTCCTATTTGTAAATATTCTTTTCCTATTTAGGATTTGGATTAGGTCTGGGCTTCTCACTTAAGCCTATTAGGGTCTCTATATATTGTAACTCTTTGTATCAGTTTAATACACATCATATTATTTTATATTCAAGTCCATTCAATGATCAAACATACTCATTTCTTGATATGGTTATCTGTTTCAGGAGACAATAATCCTATGGATGACAGAGTTTTGTACAACCATGGTCAGCATTGGTTGCAGCAACACCATATTATGGGAAGAGCTGTCGGGTAATTCTTTTGGGGGGTATTAGGAATATAGCTGTTGCTTAACTGTCCAGTTAGCCTTTCTGTTGTATAGTTGTTTTACTGTTGCAGCAGCATTGGTATTAGGAATATAACTGTTGTATAGTTGTTTTACTGTTTCTGATGTATACAATTCTTTTCTCCACTGTTCAGTTAGCCTTTCTGTTACTGTTTAGTTATTAGTCTTTAGCTTTGGCTGAGTCTGCACTAGTCTATATATTCAGATCATTGTAGTCTTTCATTTGTAACCTTTTTCACAATTCAATATACAGAATAATCTCAATGGTTCTCTCTCTCGTTTTCTCTCTTCCCCTCTATCATCTTCTCTCTGAACTCTATTATGGTATCAGAGCCCTCGATCTGAGGGCCTGAACCATTTCTCACCTCTTCTTTCATGGCTTCCGCTTCGTCTTCTCCTACTCGAACCAGTGGAACCAGATCCATTGTGAACAAAGCTGCTTCTATGGAAAACAGGCTCCTTCTCTGTTCAACTACCAGATCTTAGTGAAATTGACGGAAGAGAACTATCTGTTCTGGAATCAGATAGTTGAACTGATAATTACTTCACATAATCTTCATTTCTTGGTGAACCCTAAGATTCCGCTCAAGTTTCTGTCAGATGATCGCAAGAATGAAGAAAGAAATCCTAAATACACTGAATGGTTAACACAAGACTAGATGCTTCTTACCTTGTTACTTTCTACTCTTTCTGAACCAGTTGACAATGAAATTCTTGGTGTGCGTCACTCACACGAAGCATGGGAGAAAATTCACAAACTCTTTGTCTGATGAAATCAAAAGTGAGACAGCTCAGATTTGAGCTCAAATCAATAAAGAAAGGAGGTAAAATGATTAAGCGATACCTGTCGCTCAAATCTCTGTCATTCTCTCAGAGCTATAAAGAGTCCAGTGCCAGAAGATCAACACATTGAGTATATTCTTAAAGGTTTACCATTGAAGTACAACGCGTTCGTCCTCAGTGTTCATACGTGCGAGAAACAGTATGCTCTCGATGACCTTGCAATTAGCCTTTCTGTTACTGTTTAGTTATTAGTCTTTAGCATTGGCTGAGTCAGCACTAGTCTATATATTCAGATCACTGTAGTCTTTCATTTGTAACCTTTTTCACAATTCAATATAAAGAAAATCTCAATGGCTCTCTCTCTCTCTCGTTTTCTCTCTTCCTCTCTCTATCATCTTCTCTCCGAACTCTATTAGGGGGATAAATAATATTATAATTTCCGTGTCTTCATATCTCTTTGCTTCTGATGTTTAGTGATGATATGTATTAGAATTACGGATTTTGTTTTTTTTAATGTGTTATGTTTTACCACATTGGTCTTTTCTGCAGGTTCTTACCCTATGTTGGTTGGGCTACAATAATCATGACTGAAAAGCCTATTCTTAAGGTTTGTTCATTTGGAAATTTAAAATTTACATTAAAAAAATAAAATAAAATAAAATAATAATAATAATAAAATTCTTCCCTTTTCCTCAAATGAAAGGAAGGAATCAAGATAGAATCAATATTTGGAATTTTTCAAGGTATATTACACTCACCTCACCTGACAGATGCTCAAATTATACTGTCATTTCCTCTATTTGGAAAAATTATGCTTCCCTTCCCTGAGACATTAATATGTGTTACACTTCATGTCATTTTATAGTGTCATGCTCAAATTATACTGTCATTTCCTCTCTTTGGAAAAATTATGCTTCCCTTCCCTGAACATTTAAAATATGTTGTTACCAGACAATTTGTTAGCATTTTGAATCTCTTCTCTTCTCTTAACCGTTGGCTTTTAAGCTACACCATTTACTTGTTCAATCGAACCTTACTTATTTGTCACGTCATAACCGGAATGGCAGATTTCACGTCTTTTCTTAAGTTTTATTTTTGTATTTCAAACTTACATCATTTTCACAGGTGTGTTGTACAATCCGCCTAATTACTTGTTCACTTTTCACTTCTGGCAGGAAACTTTTTCCTTGTTTTGTTTTTTCTTTCTCAATAGCATTCTCCCCCTCCTCTTCTGTCACTTTTTTCTCAAGTTCTCACATGCACATGTATTTAGCTAATAATGTGTAAACATTAACATTTTAACGTTAATTCGTCTTTTTTTTCTCCTTGCAGTATATACTCGTAGGGGCATTGGGACTGCTGGTTTTAACATCAAAGGAATAGGGATGCGATTCTTGATACATGACTTATTTGCGCAAACACACAAGTATTGAAACGACTTTGCTCTTTCATTGGTGTAAATAAATATATACATACCTCAAAGTTATACATACTATTATAGATTAAATAATTTAGACATTCTCTTCCTTGCCTCCCTTTTGGAATGAAACTGGTTCAGTCTATAATACAATTTTGAAATACTTGAAAAAGACAAATGAGCCGTTTCGTTTGATGGCACTGGCCAAGGATTAGGGATAGTTAAATTGCGCTCTTTCCCTTGTTGTGGTGCCTTGGGGCAATGATAGTTTGACGCTTGATGTAACTACCTAAACCTTGTTTGGTCTCCGGTTTGATCTATGATAGCTTGTGCCTTGGCAGAGCCAAGAAAATAGAAGTCCTCGTATTAACAATTAAAGACGCCTGAATTTATTACAAGTAGGATAATATTGTCGGATGAATAAACAAAAAGCGTGTGTCGGAATAAGGTATGATGCTTGTATTTGTAGGACATGTGAACTTCGATAAAAATTTCTTATGACCCGTAGTAGGACAACCAATTTGTAAACAAAGGAGACAGTTTAAACATGAGTCATTCTTCTGAACCCTTGAGCCAATTTACATGTAAAATAACTATATCAATCCAAGTTCCATTTTACTCCCGAATTATTTTTGGGCATCTTTTTACTCCCACATTCAAATTGTCTTGTCTTCTCTAATTTAAAATGTTGGGTTGGAGAATATTCGAACCGGATTAAAATAAATTGGATAAAATAAATAAAAATAAGCTTAGCCTTCGTTTGTTACAAAACTTAAAATCTACATTTGGGAACACCCTTGAACCAGTATGTTTTTTTTTTGGTAACATGAATTGGCTAAACACCAAAAGCAAAGAAACAAAGAAACAAACTCAAAGAAAACTAACTCCTCGACTTCTCCAAACTGCTGCAAGGTCAGCAAGAAATAAGAGACTAAGATCCAGCGGTGGGGAGCAAAAAAACTTGTGGTCTTCCTGAGCAGAAGGGGATAATAAATAATTTGGCATCCAGTCTGCGCATGTGTTTGCCTCACGATAAACATGAGGCAAACTTACTTTTAGAGTTAAGTGTAGTGACAGCTACAATGGAGTCACTTTCTATGATCACTTTCCGGTATCCTTTTGTCCAAGCAAATTCAAGACTATTTAAGATGCCCCATAATTCAGATTGATAAGCAGTGCAAGAACTTATTCTCCACGCATAGGCTGCAATCCATTGGCCTTGATCACCTCTGCATATTCCTCCACAAGCTGCCGGACCCGGGTTTCCTTTTGCTGCACCATCCGTGTTCACCTTAACCTACCCTTCCTCTGGTGCTTGCCATGTGATCCATGCCTCTTGTTTAGTTAGCTGACCTCGGTTAGGAGCCTCAAATGCAAACGCCTGATTGTTGTCGAGCACTAAACCGAGGATGTGTTCCTTGGAATAATGCTTGTTGCTCCGATTCCCTCCATGAGTAATGTCATTTCTCCAATTCCACACTTGCCAGCAAGTTATCATAAATAATGAATCCTATTTTAATCCATCAGTGCTTTTTCCATCCCAATCTAAGTTAAACTGCACCCAATCACTGTCATTTTTGTTGAAAAACCAATGTGTCTCTGTTGGTAAAATCAACCTCAGCCAAAGCTCGCGAACCAGCTCACAATCTCTAAGAGCATGCATAGTGGATTCAATATAAGTGCTCCATAAAGGGCAGTACGGGTCACTATTATCCCAAGACGCACAAATGCTTCTAGTTAGGATTTTATTATGCAGAAGCTTCCACATAAGGACCCGAACTCGTTGCGCTCCTTTCCAATTCCAGACTTTGCGTCAAATATGCTGGGAGATAGTTGTATGAGACACATTTGTGGATATGTCAGACAAACAAGTGTAAAATCCCTTTACTGTGGCCTCTGTTTGATATCTGTTGCACCAATCTAATTTGTCAGGTCCATCATCTAAGATAGGAGGAAGGTAGCTACGGATTTGCTCTAAAATGTAATTAGGCAACAACTCTTCCAAACTTGAAAGGTTCCAGCTACCACTCTCATTAATAAACTCTCTGACCTTTTTGTGTAGATCATCCTGTGACAGCAATCTTAAGCAATAACTTTGTAATGGTCACTTCCCCACTAGCCAGTTATCACTCCAAAAATTTATCCCATAAGGAAAGGTGTAAGGCTGATTATGGTTGTCGCATAACACCATAATCAGCCTTCTGCATTTCTTCTCCCTCGTTGGTCCCTTCCATAACTTCCGTAGCATCCTCCTTCGCATATTCTTTCGTCACCGACTGGTCAATGGTGGTTGCTGCTGTAATAATGTTTGCTGACGTGGCATCTTTATGATTTTTTTCTTGCATTGACGTGGCAGCTGCCTTTTTAATGAGATTAACATTCTTTGACGCGTCCTCCACATTGGGTAGGGAATTGCTTTTGCCTGGCAAACCATCACCTATGAGCTGGAAATTTGTTTTCGTTTCCACGAGGGTAACGTCTCCTTTTTCTTTATGAGCCTTATTGATTGTAACCGAAACCGGTTGAAAGGGAATTGAATTGGCTTGATTGGCTCTTCGTAACTGATCATTAAATGCCTCATCATTAGGTTCCTCCTCTACCATAACTGATGCAAGGGCTGCGAATCTGGATGTGTTACCGTTACGCTCTGTTTGTGCATCCCTCACCGTCTCCGGCGATGCCTCTTGACCCCTCCTTTGCCTCCGGTTTTTGGTCACCACCATCCAAGCTCCATACTCCTCCCCTTTCTGTTTCGCTGGTATTGTTGGTGCAACAAGGGTTTCTGAGTTTAAGACATTTTGTTGTACCATTCCCACAGTGTGAGGTTGCGCCAGACTAGATGTAGGACAATTCTCTTTACGATGGCCATAAGAACCACAAGAGAAGCAAATCATATGCAGTGCTTCATATTCAACTCTCCTTACAACACCTTCTAAAACATATTCTGCATGAAGAGGGTTGTCCAAGTATACTTCAATACACAGGCACGCAAATTTCCCCCTGGCATAGTTCCTCGTTGTTCTATCTGTTTTAATAAACTTCCCAATCCAATTGCCAATCTCTTTAAGCACTTCATCATTACAGTATTCTATAGGAAGGTCAGGTAGTCTTACCCATGCTGCAATATGATTGATTTTTGCCTTCCTTGGTTGAAAATTCGGTTCTCAAGACCTTACCGCCAGATAATGGTTGAGAATCACCCAAGGCCCCTCAGTCCATGCAAAGTCCATATCCTCCTTTTTTCTCAAATCGGACAAGAAAATAATCATTGTCCATGTCAGTTACCCGTATCCTTCCTTTCCTTCGCCCACATTGCCTCAAGACGCTTCTTCATGTACGTTAAGGATATTTTTTCCCCCAACAAATTTATGATCAATGATTGTTTCCAGGGTTTGTATAATCTCTTTTTCAATTTCTCAGACAGCTTAAAATGTGTACGACCATCAGGACCAATCTCTTGGATTGTTGGAGGTTGATTATCCTTTTTTCCTCGTCTGTCTTCTTCTTCTCCCTCAGCTTCTATGGAGTTGTTATCCTCCTCCCCTCCATCTTCTCCAAGTTCCTCCTCCATGTCATCCTCGAACTCCCCATTATGTCGCATCAGCACTTCCCTGAATGATACATGGTTGGTCATCCACTCCTCCTCCCTTGGAGCCAATGATGTGTCACACGAAAATAGCTCATCCTCATTCTTTGTTCGCTTCTTGCTTCTACGAAGAATTTATGCTTCTTCCGTGGAAGTTGATGCCCTCCCATCGTTTGGATTCTTCCCAGCGATCTCAGTCTCCATATTACACGTTTAATCTGGCAAAAAAAATAATTTATTACTTTTTTAATAAAAAATTACGAATAAGTTGTCGTTTTGAAAAAAATTACGAATCTATAGCACCCAAACACGCCCACATGGGGCGTGTTCTGATGGAGAGAGACACGCCCATGTGGGGCGTGAGCTTGTGAAAGAAACACGCCCAAGGTAGGGCGTGTGTGGCAAGAGAGACACGCCTAAGATAGGGCGTGAGCTATGAAGCAAACACGGCAAAGGAAGGGCGTGTGTGGCAAGAGAGACACGCCTAAGATAGGGCGTGAGCTATGAAGCAAACACGGCAAAGGAAGGGCGTGTTCCAGGAGAGAGACACGCCCACGATAGGGCGTGTTATCCGCGGTGTATATAAATCCGTTTTTCACTTTTTTACCTCATTTCCACCCTCCCATCCTCTCTCTAAACCTCCTCCTCCTCCTCTCTAAATTTCTTTTGGAGGATTTTGCGCAGCGAAGCTCTGTCTCTCTCTCATGTAAGTCCCTATTTATTGTTTTTTTTATTAACAGCAATTAATATATGATAGTTATTAGCGACTTAGATAATTGTTAGGGGGTTAGAAAAATATTTGTGACTTTATTTAATTGTTAGGGGGTTAGAAAAATATTTGTGACTTTATTTAATTGTTAGGGGGGTTAGAAAAATATTAGTGACCTATGTAAGATTGTGATGTGACTTATATATTATATGGACTTACAAATTAATTAGTTACTTCTAAATTGGTATATGTTGGTTTTATGACTTATTTACACACTTAGAAATTAGTTTGTCACAATTAATTTTTTTTTATGAATGACACTTGCAAACATATTGACCTTTCAATTAACCACATTATAATTAGGGTTAAAGACGAATGAATAACGTATGCAATATTAATTTAAATTGAATTTGAATTAATATTTGTATTGAAATATATTGATAGAATAATGTAATGTTAAATGAATTAATTGTCAATGATGTTAATGTAATTGAAATTAATATAACAATTGAAGTTATTAGTTAAATGCTATTTAATTAAGTGCAATTAAATTTTATTTAGTGTAAATTAATATAATATCAATACTAATTTGGGTACATCTTTTTCATCTGTAGTAGTTTCTATTATGGCCCATTCGTCTTCATCAGAGTCCTCGCGCTCTGGATCCGATGGTGATCTTGAGCCATCCGATCCTTGTACGCATGTACTTCCTGGTCCATATAGGTGGGAGGTACTCCGTAAGAGGACACATCGCAGTCACGTTTCACAAGTTGTGTGGAACGAGGATACGGTTAGGGGGTTAAAGACGAGGCGAGGGAAACTTCAGGGGGGACCCCATCACGATGATATACCAGATGTTGTCGCTGACTATTTGACACAGGCTGGGTTCATACACGTGGCACGTATGAGTCATGTTCAGGTATGTAATGTTCAAATAGCTTAATTAAATTACCGTATGTGGACTTTGTATAATTGTTGTTTTTCCTTCAGATCGATACCCCCTTGATATCTGCTTTGGTTGAGCGTTGGAGACCGGAGACACACACATTTCATATGACGCAGGGAGAGATGACCGTTACATTACATGACGTGGCTGGTATACTTGGTTTGCCTACTGACGGGCAGGCAGTTACCAGATCTACAACGCTTGAGTGACGTGCTGACGAAGATTGGCAAGGAAGTATGACCAAGCCTCCAATGTCTCACCCTCAACAACGGCAAATGCAAGTGGCACACATTCATTATTACCATCTTGAGCTGTGGCAATCAATAACTTTCCCTTATATTTCCCGTATAGATGAGTGCCATCAATTTGTATCATTGGTTTGCAAAATTTAAATGCCTCGCAACATTGTCTGAAAGTCCAGAAACAACGAACAAATACACGTTTTCCAGAAACCAACTGCCCCCCAACAAAACAATCCTTTGTTTGAATATTGTAAAAAGAACCTGGTGAAAAACGAAGCATATATTCACACCAGTTGGGTAAAAATGCATAGGACTCCTCCCAATCACCATATAACATTGCCATTGCTTTCTGCTTCGCATACCATGCCTTTCGATATGAAACTTTGAATCCATATGAATGCGTTATCCTCTCCTGAACGAGCGAAATGGCCACTGAAGGTTCCTTTTTTATCATCTCTGAATCACAAAAGCTGAATATAAACATTAACAGAACAACAGGTATATCAACTGCAATTTTAATCAGCTTTTTAATTTGAAATTACGTACCTACTACAAGTGCTGCAATAACGTCATAATCAAGTTGTCGATGATCTTGAGAAATATGGTCATTCAAGCAATTGTGCTTCCCACCCCATTTCGTCACCTTCCAATTTTCACCATACGTTGGTTTAATTACCCTGACCCTCCACGGGCAACCTTGGACGTGTGCACAACATTTCATGCTTAATTTTGTGGGAGTGCTCTCAACCACAATTGCTTCTTGATGCTCCTTCATGAGGTAGCGCTTGATTGCCATCTGAGCCTCTTTTTTGGATGTAAATTGTTGGTTAACAAACAACTTTTCTCCCAATTGCCAAGGACCCTGGATTGAACCCGAACTCTGCGTCCATGATTGTGCCTCACTCGGATAATCCCAACCAATATATGTGTAATGTGGAATTTCTGACCAAAAAGGATCAACAGGTGCATCGCCTACATGTACTACGTAATAATAATAATAGAATTGAATTATTTTCTTAATCAAAAATTGCAACAACCAAACTGTCAGTATATTAATTGATAGCATACCTTCAGGATGTTCTGGTACTTGACTCGATGTTGTGCCATGATGTACAACGATACGAGACTCCCCCAAATCATGCACTGGTTGAAGTTCAGTACCAGACCTGCCACATTCTTCGTCATTGTCCGATGCACTCGCATCCTCTAAAAGAAGACGATCCTCTATTGCAATATTTTCCTCATCATCTTCGTCATACTCCTCATCCATAACCCAAGTAGGGTCATGTTCGTCTTCCTCAGACATGTTAACAGCAGGAACAACAGGAACAACAGATGATGATGCATTAAGAGGAGAAGTAGACCTAACTGACCTCATTGGTATGACAACTTCCTCCGCGGTTGTAGTATCCACATACAACTCTAAGAAATCCTTTCTACACTGGTTCAAGAACTCTTCCATTACCATATCGATGTCTTCGTCATCGACCACTTGCAAGCTAATGTATTGTTCACGTTGCCATAACCTTGCCGTGACAAGAGTGATCAATTGGTTGTCTTGAAGACATAATTTTTGACGTACGACCTTCTTCTTTCCTACCGTTAAAATATAGAACGGCACGAATAGTATCAGAATTCGTACTCATTTTTAAAAACAAACAACTTTAAAAGATAAAACAAAATATGAGTAAACAAGTGCAAACTATCAGAGAGTTTAGCATAACAATGACAGAATTGTGAAGAGTGTGTAGGGGGGTGGGTGTTTAAATAGCAGTCAGTTTAGTCACTCACGCCCATATTTGGGCGTGTCAACCCACTGAACACGCCTTATCTTAGGCGTGACCACATACGCCCTACGTAGGGCGTGTTTCCTTCTAAAGCTCACGCCCCATATGGGCGTGTCTCTCTCCATCAGAACACGCCCCATGTGGGCGTGTTTGGGTGCTATAGATTCGTAATTTTCTGCAAAACGACAACTTATTCGTAATTTTTTTATTAAAAAAGTAATAAATTAATTTTTTTACCCGTTTAATTTTGTCTTTAACTCGGTGCTTTCACTTTTCCCGTGAAAGCAGTATGTTACTATTAAATTACACTCATTTTGAATTTTATTAAATTTGCATTCAACTTTTTTTCAATCTTTAATGGGTTGTTGATTTATTAATTTATTTCAAAAAATAAAATAATAAATTCACTTATGTTAATGCTGGTGTAGATACCTTTGCTTGGAAGGATTGGAACCCCAGTCACTCATTAGTCAAGCTAGCCTACCATAAATTAATGAATTTCACAAACCCCTTGCCTAACAGTTTTTGGGATAAATTTTGGAGATGGAAAGGACAAGAAAGGATAAAATTCCTCATATGGAAAATGAATCATGGTAGGTTGTTAACTAAAGAGAGAATTGGCAAATGGGGAAGCACGAGAAGAATTTCAGTGGTCTCAAACTACTATTTACTTAGTGGTCCGAACCAATCAAAATCATACAACTAATGAGGAGAGAGAAGAAATAAAAAATAATTTTTTGTCCAAGTGCCACCTCTTGAATGGAAGGACCACATGAGGCCTGGAGTACCAAAAAAAATTCTGGGAAGCACCCAGTGACGGAGCCACTTGGGTGTTAAGTGGTGCCTTGGCACTACCTGAGTCTACATGGCTGGGTCTTTTGGCACTACCTGACTTTTTTTCCTAGCTTCGCCATTGGAAGCACCTCGTATAGATGTCACTTACATGTGTTTAGAGATTGTCCTAAAGCAAAGAATATTTGGAACCTAGTTTCATTGATCCTCCTATGTTTAGTGAGTGAAAAAGTCTGAATTTAAGGCTGGTAAAGGATTGGTAGAATAACTAGATGGACTCTTTTTTTTCTAGTGTGCAACCTACTATGGAGCTGGAGAAACAAAGACCTTCATGAAGAGGAGTTTAGAAGACCCGAAAACCCACCAATCTTCTTGCTAATTACTTGGTAGAGACAAGGGTAGTTAGGTTAAACAAAGCCCAAAGGTTTAACAATAGCACCTCTTTGTCCTCCTTCTCATCTTGATCTTGGCCTGTACAAGGATCCATAAAACTCAATGTAGGCAGTTTTGTTGTGGATGTGAATGCTGCTTGCAATGGTATCCTAAGGGACAACAATGGTTCCGGGATTAGTGGTTTTCTTCGTCCTTGGGTTCTTGCTCCCCTTTACAAGCAAAATTGTGGGTTACTTTCCATGGTTTAGAGTTCTTGAAGGAGGAAGTGTACATGACACAACCTGAAATTTGGCAAATGGATGTCAAGACCGCCTTCTTGAATGGGTTCTTGAAGGAGGAAGTGTACATGACACAACTTGAAGGCTTTGAAATCAAAGATCAGGAGCATATGGTATGCAAATTACAAAGGTCGATATATGGGCTAAAACAAGCATCAAGGAATTGGAATATTCGTTTTGATGAAGTCGTTAAGAGTAACGGTTTTATCAAGAACGAGGATGAACCTTGTGTTTACAAGAAGGTTAGTGGGAGTAATGTCGTCTTCCTAGTACTTTATGTAGATGACATATTGTTGATAGGAAATGACATCCCCACATTACAAATAACGAAAGAGTGGCTTTCAAAAAGCTTCACCATGAAGGATTTGGGAGAAGCGGCCTTTATACTTGGTATTAAGATCTATAGAGATAGATCCAAGAGGCTGCTGGGTTTATCTCAATCCACGTATGTTGACAAAATGTTAAAAAGGTTTAGCATGGAAGGATCGAAAAAGGGTTTTCTTCCTGTCAGTCATGGGGTACATCTTTCAAAGGCTATGTGTCCTAAGTCACAGCCTGAGAAGGATCGCATGAGAGGAATTCCATACGCTTTGGCTATTGGATCCATCATGTATGCCATGATATGTACGAGACCAGATGTTTCGTATGCTTTGAGCATTGCGAGCAGATACCAGTCTGACCCTGGAGAGGGTCACTGGACAGCAGTCAAGACCATCCTTAAGTACTTAAGAAGAACTAAGGATGCGTTTCTGGTCTATGGTGGGGTTGATGAGCTAACAGTGAAAGGGTTCACTGATGCCAGCTTTCAGAGTGACAAAGATGACTGCAAGTCACAGTCAGGGTTCGTATTCACCTTAAATGGTGGGGCAGTATCTTGGAAGAGTTCCAAGCAGGAGACAACAACAGATTCAACGACAGAAGCTGAATACATAGCTGCTTCAGAAGCGGCTAAGGAGGCCGTGTGGATCAAGAAGTTCATATCTGAACTAAGGGTGGTTCCAAGCGTGGATGATCCCATACAGTTGCTTTGCGACAATACAGGAGCCATTGCGCAGTCAAAGGAACCTAGGTCTCATCAAAGATCTAAACACGTGCTCCGCAGATATCACCTGATTAAAGAAATCATTGATAGAATGGATGTAAAGATGGATTATGTTCCCACAGAGGATAACCTGACCGATTCTCTGACAAAGGCTGTTTCTCAGAGAAAACATGATAGTCATTATGAGGCTTTGGGTATACGACTTAGGTCTGATTGACACTAGGACAAGTGGGAGCTTGTTAGTATATGGGTGTCCTAGAGACAATCTTTTGTTTAAATAAGAACATTAAATGTAGACCTTTATTGTAGCAAATAAATAATAAGCACTCTTTATCCTGTTTCATATTATGTCTCGATATTACTGTTGATATTATATATGAGTAACTGGATAAACCCCTTGGAATAGAATAGGTATCTCTTGACTAATTGTGATAAGATCACAATCATGAGGATTCAAGGATACCGCACGTTTATTCCTAATTTTATGTTCCTAGTCTAGAGACACTGAGAATGGGGATCAGTGATCTCAGATAAGACTAGCACGACTTATCTACTTGTATACGGATACAAGGTAAAGATCTCATGTGCTACAGATATGGAGATGTCTTAGCTTAAGTCGTGGGTGGACCTATAAGGGTATAACTCGCACTGAACAGACCCACAAAGAGACTCTAT